ATTTCCCCACGAATCATTATCACTCAATTCTGCAAGTGGTTCTGATTTACTATCGCTGTTCTCTAGATGGTCTAAAACTGCTTTTGACCTAAAGTGACCCTTTTTGGACGCCATGGACATTTCTCAGTTTCAAGGCAGAAAGAACAGTAAAAATGCAGGCAGGGCACAGGACAAAGCACTCGGGACAAAATGTATGTGAACTGGTTTGATACAGTAATGTTATACTATGTGATTTTAGTGTATTTAGTGAGTGTCATTTTTTAACATTTTTAAATTTCCCGCCAGTTCTGTCCCCCGTATGTTCCGTATGTTCTGACGCTCGCAGGGACTGGAAGACGGATGCAGGCATCGGCCGGAGGAGATGGCCAGGGACGCTGCAGAGGGGACATCATGGGAGCGCAGGACAAGGTAAAAAATATTAATATAATAATCATAAATTTAATTCAATAATATAATCAAACCAAAAACACTGAAATTTGAAATAGAGCGCCAAGTTCGCACATTACTGAGCTTAGTCGCAAAATCATTTTCAGTGTCTGATGACGAATTTCCCCACGAATCATTATCACTCAATTCTGCAAGTGGTTCTGATTTACTATCGCTGTTCTCTAGATGGTCTAAAACTGCTTTTGACCTAAAGTGACCCTTTTTGGACGCCATGGACATTTCTCAGTTTCAAGGCAGAAAGAACAGTAAAAATGCAGGCAGGGCACAGGACAAAGCACTCGGGACAAAATGTATGTGAAATGGTTTGATACAGTAATGTTATACTATGTGATTTTAGTGTATTTAGTGAGTGTCATTTTTTAACATTTTTAAATTTCCCGCCAGTTCTGTCCCCCGTATGTTCCGTATGTTCCGACGCTCGCAGGGACTGGAAGACGGATGCAGGCATCGGCCGGAGGAGATGGCCAGGGACGCTGCAGAGGGGACATCATGGGAGCGCAGGACAAGGTAAGTGCAGAAGGGATCCCAGAGCAACTCTAAAGGGTAATCCCAAGTGTAGCTCGCGGTTACCGCTTTTGGTACTGAAAGTTAACTCTGAGCTACACTTGGGAATACTGCCAATGAGGTTAAAGTGTTTGTTCACCAATGCCAGAAGTCTGTCAAGCAAAATAAGTGAGTTGGAAGCCTTGGTGTACAAAGTAATTTATTTGGTATTGCTGAATCTTGACTTCATTCTTCACTAGACTGGGCTATTAATATTCCTGGCTATGTTCTCTTCCAGAGAGACAGGGTAAAAAAGAAAGGTGGTGGTGTCTGTCTCTATTTGAGAAGTGATCTCAAAGCGAGTGTGAAAGAGGACCTAGTTGATGGAAAGTGTGATAAGGCTGAAGCATTATGTGTGGAACTGCACATGGGTGTGTGTTTATTACAAAGGTAATCACTGGAGTTTGTTAGAGGTCATCCAGTGTAATGAAGATGAGACTCCGCTCCTTGCACATATAGAAATGGCTGCAAGAGCTGGAATAGTGATAATAAAGTGGGATTTAAACTACCCAGTAATTGACTGGAGTAATGGCACTGCAGGAACAGTTAAAGAGCAAAAATGTATATAAACCAGTTCATAAAGGCCCTGACTAGGAATGATACTTTGCTGGACCTGGTAATCTCAAACCATGCAGACCTTATTACTAATGTAAATTTAAAAGAACATGTGGGTAGCAGTAACCATAAAATTGTTTAATTTAATGTAAGCTATAAACAACAAGCGCATACTGAAAAGAAACACTCAACTTTAAGAGAGCTAATTTTCCAGGGATGAAAGCTGCTCTCCAAGACTTGGACTGGGAGGGAATATTGGCATCGATCAACACAGTACAGAAATGGGAATTCTTCAAAAAGACTGTACGTGAACACACTGCAAAATATATTCCCATGGGCAAGAAGTTTAAAAGGCTAAAAATGTGGCTCACGATCAAAGTTAAAAAAGCTATAAACAATAGGAAAAAAGCTTTTAAAAATAAAAAAAAATGAAGGAACATTCATCATTTAATTGTTACAAGGAATATAACAGAATATGTAAAAAGGAGATAAGGGCCGCAAAAATTCAAAATGACTTATAGATTACAAGATAGCAGGACAAACCCCCAAAAATTCTTCAACTATATTAATAGTAAAAAGGTCCAGTCCGAGCATGTAGGCCCTTTACAAAATAAACTAGAGTGGGTGACTGGGGACAAAGAGAAGGCAAATTTAATAAATATCTTCTTAAACTCTGTGTATACAAAGGAGCATGGGGGAAGTCATGTCCATAATGGGGATGATATTGACACAGCTCCAAATGATCCACTATGGCTCACAATGTATATGGACCAGAAATATTTACACAGAATAAAGATGAATAAAGCACCTGGACCAGATGGCATACACCCACAGGTTCTAAAAGAATTAAACTCTGTCATTTCAAAGCCATTGTTTTGGTGTAAGGCCAGTGTGGTGCCTATATTTAAAAAAGGGTCAAAATCTTTACCAAGTAACTATAGACCTGTTAGTTTAACTTCTATAGTTGGAAGATACTGGAGAGTTTATTTAAAGACCTCATAGATGAGGTCTTAAGGAAAAGAAAATATTTTAAGCAACATACAGCATGTATTCATGAATTACAGAAGTTGTCAAACAAATCTGATTTCTTTTTGAGGAGGAAAGCAAAACCTTGTACAAAGGAGTGGCTGTAGACGTATACTTAGACTCTACGAAAGTGGCTATTATGTAAGTTAAAGTCTACAGGCTTAAAAAAATCAGTATGTAAATGGATGGAAAACTGGCTAAAAGACTGCAGTGGTTAATGATTCAACTCAGTCTCTGTTTCTGATCTTAAAGGCATGTTAATCTCCCTACGTGATTCAATGCAATTAGACATGGTGCACCTTGTTGGCTAAAGTTAATACTGAAATGTAGGAATTACAGAACAGAGTCAAGCATATTGACCACAAAATGAGGATGTCTATGCAGCACACAAAAGCTTAGTGGACACTTGTAAAGAGCAACAGGTTGATATGCAAGTTATTCAAGCTAAACTTGCCGACTTGGAAGACTTGTTATTTTTGCTTTACTGGTCCTAAGGGACCTATGTTGTTACCCCTACTATTATAACAGTATGCAATGTTTCCGCTTGCTGGGTATGCACTCTTACTTTTTTAATGTTCCTTTTTTTTTTCTTCATGGTTGGTCTTCTTTGGTACCTGTTTTCAGCAGGATAGTAGATACCTCCAAATAATGATAATTATAACTGTAACACCGGGCAGAGGCACATTGGGCAAAGGCACACCGGGCAGAGGCACATCGGGCTGGACTCCGGGCAGAGGCACATCGGGCTGGACTCCGGGCAGAGGCACATCGGGCTGGACTCCGGGCAGAGGCACATCGGGCTGGACTCCGGGCAGAGGCACATCGGGCTGGACTCCGGGCAGAGGCACATCGGGCAGGACTCCGGGCAGAGGCACACGGGCAGGACTCCGGGCAGAGGCACATCGGGCAGGACTCCGGGCAGAGGCACATCGGATTACCAGGCGAAGCAGCAGGCACCAGCAGAGGCAGGCACCGGGCCCCCAGGCGGAGAGCAGCAGGCACCAGGGGCCCCCGGGCGGAGCAGCAGGCACCGGGCCCCCGGGCGGAGCGGCAGGCACCGGGCCCCCGGGCGGGGCGACAGGCACTGGGCCCCCGGGCGGGGCGACAGGCACCGGGCCCCCGGGCGGGGCGACAGGCACCGGGCCCCTGGGCGGGGCGACAGGCACCGGGCCCCCGGGCGGGGCGACCGCCATCGGGTCCCCGGGCGGGGCGACCGGCATCGGGTCCCCGGGCGGGGCGGGCGCCGGGCCCCCAGGAGGGGCGACCGGCATCGGGCCCCCAGGCGGGGCGACCGGCATCGGGCCCCCAGGTGGGGCGACAGGCATCGGGCCCCCAGGCGGGGCGACAGGCATCGGGCCCCCAGGAGGGGCGACAGGCACCGGGCCCCCAGGCGGGGCGACAGGCATCGGGCCCCCAGGTGGGGCGACAGGCATCGGGCCCCCAGGCGGGGCGACAGGTCTCGGGCCCTCAGGCGGAGCGGCGGGCGCCGGACCCCCAGATGGAGCGACAGGTCTCGGGCCCTCAGGCGGAGCGGCGGGCGCCGGACCCCCAGATGGAGCGACAGGTCTCGGGCCCTCGGGCGGAGCGGCGGGTGCCGGACCCCCCCAGATGGAGCGACAGGTCTCGGGCCCCCAGGCGGAGCAACAGGTCTCGGGCCCTCAGGCGGAGCGGCCGGCACCGAGTCACCAGGCACACGACAGTGGGCACCGAGTCGTCTGGCAAGACCGCGGGCACCGAGTCAACTGGCGGAACAGCGGGCATCGAGTCAACTGGCGGAACTGCGGGCACCGAGTCGTCTGGCAAGACTGCGGGCACCGAGTCGTCTGGCAAGACTGCGGGCATCGAGTCAACTGGCGGAACAGTGGGCACCGAGTCGTCTGGCAAGGCAAGCTGCGGGCACCGAGTCGTCTGGCAAGACTGCGGGCACCGAGTCGTCTGGCAAGACTGTGGGCACCGAGTCGTCTGGCAAGACTGCGGGCATCGAGTCAACTGGCGGAACAGCGGGCACCGAGTCGTCTGGCAAGACTGCGGGCACCGAGTCAACTGGCGGAACAGCGGGCATCGAGTCAACTGGCGGAACAGCGGGCACCGAGTCGTCTGGCAAGACTGCGGGCACCGAGTCAACTGGCGGAACAGCGGGCATCGAGTCAACTGGCGGAACTGCGGGCACCGAGTCGTCTGGCAAGACTGCGGGCATCGAGTCGTCTGGCAAGACTGCGGGCACCGAGTCGTCTGGCAAGACTGCGGGCACCGAGTCGTCTGGCAAGACTGCGGGCATCGAGTCAACTGGCAAGACTGCGAGCATCGAGTTAACTGGCGGAACAGTGGGCACCGAGTCGTCTGGCAAGACTGCGGGCACCGAGTCGTCTGGCAAGACTGCGGGCACCGAGTCGTCTGGCAAGACTGCGGGCATCGAGTCAACTGGCGGAACAGCGGGCACCGAGTCGTCTGGCAAGACTGCGGGCACCGAGTCGTCTGGCAAGACTGCGGGCACCGAGTCGTCTGGCAAGACTGCGGGCACCGAGTCGTCTGGCAAGACTGCGGGTACCGAGTCGACTGGCGGAACAGCGGGCACCGAGTCGTCTGGCAAGACAGTGGGCTCCGAGTCAACAGGCACGACAGTGGGCACCGGGTCATCAGGTATCGGATTGTCTGGCTCGACAGCGGGCATCGGGTCACCAGGTATGACAGCGGGCACTGGGTCACCAGGCATCAGGTCATTTGGCTTGCCAGCGGGCACCGCGTCATCTGGCAAGGCAGTGGGCACCGGGTCACCAGGTATGACAGCGGGCTCTGAGTCAATTGGCACGACAGCGGGCACTGGATCAAGTACCGGATCATCTGGATCAACAGCGGGCATCGAGTCAACTGGCCTAATAGGATCGTCGGGCTGGATCAGTTCATCATGCTGAATGCAGGCATCAGGCTGAGTAGAGGCTTCAGGCTGAGTAGAGGCTTCAGGCTGAAGAGAGGCATCCGGCTGAAGAGAGGCATCCGGCTGAAGAGAGGCATCCGGCTGAAGAGAGGCTTCAGGCTGAGGAGAGGCATCAGGCTGAGTAGAGGCATCAGGCTGAGTAGAGGCTTCAGGCTGAGTAGAGGCTTCAGGCTGAGTCACGGAAGGCAGGTTCACCGGTTTGGATACTGGCAGGATGGTATTGGTTGGAAAGAATTTTCGCTTTTTTCTGGTTTTAACTACTGGGGCACTGCAAGTAAATGCAGGTCTGCAAACGAATGGAGCAGCTGGAGACAGAGAAAAACTGGAGGATGGAACAGGAGAGGGAGCAGTTGCTACAGAGGGATTTTTTACAGGGTTAAAGGCAGGATAGGTGCAGCGAGTGGGAACAGGGTACTGACATGCGGTAGATAGCCAAGTATACTGGGCTGTAACTGGAGGAGCTGGTGGGAATACAGGAGTAGAGTTAGAAGCAGGACTGGGTTTTTGTAAGCTGACTGAGGCTGGGTGCAACAAGTCTGTCCATGTCTGCAGTATGGGTTGAACAAAGCTGAGCTTACACAAAGCCTGTCTGGTCAATGACTGCACTGCGTTTATACAATCTCTTAGTGTCTGTGGTGAACATGTGGAATAACTCTCCAGAAAGTAACCCACATCATCCTCTAATAACCACACCAGGGACTCTACCTGGTCTGCACTAAATGGTGGCAAAAATTCATCCCTGCATTCAGGGGAACCAGATGAAAAACCAACTCAGCACAAACCTCAATCAAAGGCTGCACCTCAGAGAACTCTGTGCCCTGATCTACTAGAACATGAGCGAGCCGTATACATTCTAGTAGTTGATCCCTGGGATACTCCTTCAGAGTTTGATAAGCATACTCCCTGTCATCAAACACTAGCAGATATAAATACACAACAACCTCATCCAGATCCATCCTTCCCAGCAACAAGCCAAGATGGCTTCCCTGTGCAGCCACTTCTGGTCAGGATTGGCCTTGGTGTAATGTCAGGGCTCCCAGGTGTGACCAGAGGTGTGTGGCTGACGCAGGGAAACGTAGACCTCAGATACGTTATAAACAATATAATTTATTAACACTAACAATACAAACATAAACGCAGTACAATACTAAAACATAATACAGTGCAACCAAACCAAACCAAACCAACCACCCACAGATAACAGTACATACAAGCAAGCGTCGTCAGGCAGGCCGGGTCAATATCAATAGGGCAGGTAGGTACAGGGGGAGCAAGCGGAGATGGGTCGGGGTCACAGGCCAGGTGCAGCAGGTAGCAAGCAGCGTAGTACAGAGGGTAAGGCGGAGGGATGGTCAGGGTCACAAGCCAGGGATCAGAACAGGTAGCAAGCAGCGTAGTACAGAGGGTCAGGCAGAGGGATGGTCAGACAAGCCAGGGATCAGAGCAGGGTCAGCAGAGAATCAGACAGGAACAGAGAGCAGGAACAGGATACAGGGCCCAAGAGAACACAACACCAAGGCAGAGTCTGCAAGTCTGGCCATCCCTTAAATACCCCAGCATAATCAGTTCCAGGTGTTAGCTGGCTGCAAAGTTGAGTCTCTGATTGCTGGGAGCACCCGCTGGCCAGCCCTGGTACTGCAGATCAAAAGGCAGGTGAGTCCCACCATTGCTGGCTAGTCCATTCCTGACACTAACACTATCTCTGGCATTAGAGCAGGGGGGAAAACGCATCATATAGTCTCTTTGCTGATGATGTGGTTCTGATACTTACAGATCTAACATCTCTTCCTTCAGTGGCCTCTTTAACCACATCCTTTAGAGCAGCATTATATTATAAAGTGAATATAAGCAAACGTCACGCCCTTCCAATTAATCTTAAATAGGCAGAACTTGAGAAATTTAGGAATGAATTCTCTTGTTTGTGGGATAATGATGGTATTTCTTATCTGGGAATTCAATTAACAGCCACCTCAGCACATCTGTATAAAGTCAATTATGGTAGACTGTTACAAAATGGTTAAAAATTATCTCCCTAAATTGGCTAAATGTGAGGTATCCTGGTTAGGTCACATTGCCTCCTTTAACATGCTACTGCTGCCAAAAATTTTATATTATTTTTGGACGGTACCTATTTTATCACCTACACAATTTTTAACGACCTTTAATCTACCGCTCAGAAAATATATATGGCAGGGAAAAAGAGCCAGAATGACTTTTGCTACTCTTTTCAAACATAAATCTATAGGGGGATGGGTTTCCCAGTTCTACAGAATTATAACAGAGCAGCATTATTGGACCAATTACATACCTGGTTAAACCCTTCCCCATAGAAACATTGGGTATATATAGAATGAGATCTAATAGGTAATAAAGATCTTGCTGCCTTATTGTTGGTGGCTGCCACTGGCCTCCCACTGCAAATTGTGGACCATTCACCCCCCCCCCCCCCCCCCCCCCCCCCCCCCCCCCCCCCCCCCCCCCCCCCCCCCCCCCCCCCCCCCCCCCCCCCCCCCCCCCCCCCCCCCCCCCCCCCCCCCCCCCCCCCCCCCCCCCCCTCTATCATGGCATCCCTAAAGGCATGGCAATACGTGATAGGGATTCCATTAAAAAAAAAGAGCACACTATGGAGACTGAATTACCACTACAAGCTTATGACATTTTGTACCTGCCTTCTCCACGACAGCATGGACAGAGTATTTTCTACATTTAAGGACCTAATTATTATAATTCAAAAAACAGAAGCCTATAAAATAATTCAAATTACTCATCCTCATAATAAATTATTAAATCCATTGGTAATATAGGATAAAAAAGTAAGAGATTATTATCATAACTCAGCGGTGTTTAAAGGGGGAATTTACTGGTCTACTCATATTTGCAATTTTGAAACCAATGTGTCAAATCCCTGACTATGCTAAAATGGGAAGGTGAGCTGGGACAAAATTTCATTGACAAAGTGAGTAAGTACTTGGAAATAGCTTTATCTAACATATACACAGCATCACACTGTTTCCCATTGGGAAAACGCTCTGAAAGTCATCCACAGATGGTACCTAACTCCACATAGAATGTCTCTTACACATCCACTCCATCCGAATGTTTGCATGTATGCGGCCAAAGGGGTACCCTGATTCATATATTTTGGCATTGTAAGTCTATTACTAGTTTTTGGAAGCATTTTTTTTACATTAATATCTTCAATTACCGGTATACTCATCACTCCTGAACCGTTCTTGGCTTTATTAGGCATTGCAATTTCCCGTTTTCCTACACAATTAAGAAAGGTTGTGACACACATATGTACAGCTTGCCCGTCTCACACTTATGAGTAGATGGAAAGTTACAGAGGCACCCACGTTATCTGCAGAAATTTCAATAGTACACTCCCAATGTTCTTATGAATATTTTTGTGCAATACGCAACCAAAAAAGGGATAATCTTTGAAAAAGAATGGGTTATATGGTTGTCAGGCTATGGCCTTAAGAATATAATAGGATGAACAGATGGAAATATTATTGCAGATTTGGAAGACATAGCATTCATGCATGCAATCAGTTTTGCTATACCTGTTGGAAGGTATTTCTAGACCTACTAGTTAGTGGGCTATCATTTAACACTTAAAGAAAAACAACAAAATAAAATTTGTAGTACCAAAAATTCTTGTTCTCTTCTTTTCTTCTTTAGAAATAACCTTTGTTCTATTTACTATATTTATTTTATATGTGATGCACCTAGCTTTTAGGGTAGAATAGAGCAGAACCTTTATAGAAATTTTACAGGACACTTATTCTTTCACCGAATTGTATTCTTGGGTTAAGGTATTTTTGAAATGTTGTAAGTAAGTTGTAACTTTAACTGTATTTCTCAACCTTGGATCCTTTCTTATGTTTATGTTTGTACTTTGTTATTAAATTAATAAAAACAATTGAAATTAATTGTTGAAACACGGAGACTGAACAGACTTTAAAAAAGTCTGAGACTTTAAAAAAGAAGACTCTTCTACTTAATAGCCCCATTTTGTTGAGTTTTAGGAAGTTATGAGGTAGCCTTTGTCTTCAGAACAAAAGCAGGTATCTATTTGAAATGTTTGCTAAAATTGCCTCTATAATTAGAAATTGCCTAAGAGAGGATTTATTTTTCTAAAAAAAAGTGAGGTTTTAACTGATAATCTGCAATTTTCAGTAATGTGCATCTTCATTCACAAGTTTAAAATAGAACTACAGCCAAACAATTTTTGCTTCCGGTATTATTTATTTGAATTTTCACTTATCTTTTTGTCCCGCATCCTCCAACTTTCTTATCATTGAGCTAACCCCCTTTCCTAGTTCCATATCCATACATGCCTTTTGACCTGCCAGTGCACCTCCTGCACTTCCCTTGGCATTCTATGAGGCCATGTCATGAGGTAAGAAATGCATACAAGTGGAGGGCTGAAAGGTCATTTTCAGGAAGAACTGAGTTGCATTTAGTTGTGGTGGTGATAAATGGTGATGGAAAAAAATGGTGGACAGAAGCAAGGTATAATTGGGTGATTCATATTGTTATTGCATTCAGGGATAATTGTAATTTTCTGGACTGTATATCTGTGAGAAGGAGTAAGAGTGGAGCAGATTAGGTAATTAGTGAAAATAAGGAGGAGTGTGGGAGCAAAACCAAGAGAACAATCATATTGTGCATGTACCTATGTTTGCACTTGCAGGTAAAGTAATATTAACTTCCCATCTGCCCTATAGCGGTAATACTGCTACAGGGCGGCACGGGTGCCCAAAATCACACATATATACATTATTTTGCATTCCCAGGTAGGGGGCATGCGTGAGCCGCATGCACGTCTTACCCGTGCCACTATTTGCGGCCTCGACTGTCAATCACTGGGTCCCGGCCAGTGATTACTCGCCACAACCCGGTGATTGAGGAGCATTCCCGACAGAGGGAGAG